GATTCAAGCTGGGTAACGCACCCTGTCTCAAAGCTCAGTTTATCTCAAACTGGTTTCTTGAATGTGACAATGAGTTTACTGTACTCAAATAACCTCCACAGTCATCAGATCTAAATCCAATAGAGCACCTTTGGGATGTGGAGGAATGCAAGATTTGTACAATGTGTGTGCTGGCAACAAATATACAGCACCTGTTTTGTTATCATGTCAAAGGAATGTCTCCAGCACAACAGGGTGTCCAACCCAGTGCTAACAAGGTGTACCTAATATTGTCCCCGATATTTCCTAAAACTTTTAAACTAAATGCAGCTATTGATTTGTTTTAAACTCTTCTTTGAGAGCTATATTTATTCTGTACCGTTGATACCAAATTTTGCAGGCGTTACAGATGCATGGAGAAATCATAGATGGCATTACCATGATAATGCAGTTCAAGAGAGTGACGAATTGCCACTGAAGACATGAATATTGTATTGGAATAGATGGGCGTTGGAGCTATATATAGTGCAGTGTCACAGCAAGCACCACATAAAGCACAGGTACACGCACATACAGCGCGCAGACACATTCCAGGTGACGTAACACTAAATAATTACGGTTACATCCGCTCGATGTGTCCTTGTGTGGAGTTTTATTGTGCAAGTTTACCCTCAGCTATAAACAAATGGCTTAAAACTGCCTGCCCCTTACTGACTGTGAGAGTAATTAGAGTATGAGACTGTTAACACATGCTCTCAAAGAGAAATGATCATGTATGACCTCAACGGCAGAATGGAAACTTTTTTTTTTGGAGTCCCGTCTGCAAAAAACGTTCACCTCGAAAACACGCCATCTTTGATGATTCTAATAGCATATTAGCTATTGGACACAAATTTGCTTGAGGTTAAAATCAATAATCATCAAATCAACATAAAGAAATGACTAAGCAGCATTTTCATAAAGCTGCGGGAGCACTTTCACATCAGGTCCCCCTCGCGCCCCGCTACCCACTGGGAGAAAATGACCACAAACACGTCATAATAAATCTATCCCCCAGCAAGGTGCGGTTGTCTTGACAACAACAATTTTCACAGAGGGTCATCATTATCAGCCGTGCACTACACAAAACAATGTGTGCCTTTTAAATAATTTGGTCATTTAGAGGGTTTCGATGCTGTCTGGTATCCTCGGAGCAGCCTGCTTCTGGCCTGACCATAGTTGCCCCAAGTAACAGGACACGAAAAACAAAGACGTGCAAAGTCAACTACCTCTGGATAGGATTCAAATTCAAGAACACTGCTGACATTGGCCGAAAGGATTTCACTGCCTTTTCCATTCAAATGACCTGTTTTGCATCATTTCAACAAGTCCAGGCAGGATCACGCTATGAAAACAAACGGCAGGGCTTTAAGCTAACAGAACCAAAAACCTGGCGGGGCTAAAGTCATCTCTGGCCACTGTGGTTAAAGTAACCTGAATGGTTGACGCTAAAGGAAGCCACTTTGGCTATGCAAAGCACTGCAGACAGACACGGAGCTTCAATTCTCTAACAGGCTAAAAAGCTCTGCAGCTTTGTAGATGTTCAGATAAAAATGGAGTCTATTATATTAATTTCCAGCTCTAAACTTTTATTCTTGGACTTCACCCAGAGTATCTATTAACCACATAAAAAAATCCTTGCTAATCTTTAAGCAGCACCTTAAAGGTCGCCTTGTGGCTGCAACACTGCATCACTCGTCTCTTTAAGGCTCCCTTTCCTAAAAGCCTTTCGCTGATTGGCTGCTCCTTGTCAGGTAAACAAAACCTGGTGCTCGTGGGCATTGAAACTCTTTGTCTTGACATTGTGGACCTCCGGAAACAAACTGTAAACATTGGACACAGTTTGGCAATATAACGGTAGTTACACTTTGCGTTCTGATACCTCGATCTTGCTCTTTACAGATGGAAGAGCCGTGTCTTTTAGCATTACCTGCCCAGCTTTGCTATCGAATGAGTACTCTGAAGTGGCATGAATAAACAAACAATGAACCTGAGATGACCATATAAGGAAATCCTGTGCCTCTGACATCAATCAGACACAAGAGTAGAAAAACAACACCTGAAACTGAGTGTTTAGCGCAGGCTAAAGCAAGAGCATCCGAGCATTTGGTCAGTGGCTGTGGCTACAATGTAGCTTGCCATCACCAGTGTGTGAATGTGTGTGTGAATGGGTGGATGACTGGGTGTGTAAAGTGCTTTGGGGTCCTTAGGGACTAGAAAAGCGCTATACAAATACAGGCCATTTACCATTTACAGGTTTGTAACAGCACAAGTATCAGAGAAAAAGGAAGTATAATCGGTCTACTTTAGGATTCTTCTCGCGTATTAGCTTGAAAAATATCCTTCTGCCAAATGACACTTGTTTGTAAATCAAACGTTTTCTTTAAAGCCCCACAAAGTCATTGCCTTCAAGTGAATTAAACATAATCGGCAGTGACCACAAATCAGGCAAAAAAAAGGTACATCAAACGAAGGTCGTAATTCCACGTCAGAGTGCATTAGGACGTTTATCATCAAAGCGATGCCTAGCTTTTAATTCATTTGACATCTTTCAGCACTAATACAGTATCTGATTTCTGAGGAGCACTGGTACACAGTCACACAGCGTGACATCTGAAGGAAAGCAGCGGGTTACAGGACAAGTCCCTGATATATGTTTCTACACAGAACAGAGACCAGGGCCATTATGTCTGTACCAGATTTTCACTTCATATCTAAAACCACAAGCCAGCAGCATGCATAAGTACCGCCTGCTGCTCTCAATGTTATTCAAATGACAGCACAATTCTATTTTCACCTTGCAACTAATGTGGCCATTACTCCTATGTCAGCAACATTTACTGCCCTTCCTTTTATGCTGGATATGCTAGAAAATGGGAAAATTAATTCTGGAACAAAAAATGGGGGTGGGGATTATCTTGAAATGTGTGTGTGTAGCTGCTGGGATTAAGCTCAAATAAAACAGTTCCCATCTGAAAAATCCCATCCCAGCAACTCTCACGAAACAGCCACATGAAGAATATGAGTCCCTGTGGTCTTATCAAAGAGGTGATATGACACATTTTCCCCACTGTGCCAATTTTTATGCCTTGATCATGTTGAATGCGATGTCACAAAATAGCATAAAAACATCAACGAGGGCCTGAAAAGCAACGTAAACAGTGTACACACCAAAAAAAAAAGAAGGAAATGGAAATAGAAAGGCAAGTGCACTGCCAAAAGGAAGTTGTTAGGAGAAAGAGGAAAGGAGGGGTGTCTACACTGAGTCAGATGAAGGGGAAACAGGGTAGATGGATGTAGTGGTGTGTCTTTATGTGTGGAAGAGTGTGTGTGTATGAGTGAGGGAGGAGGAGGACGTGGGGAGAAGGGGAAGTCGGCAGGCAAACCTATCATCCACGGAGCCCACCAGTAAACTCTGCAGGGCAAACAATCTCCCTAATTGAATTCAATCCAGGCTCACCGCAGGAGGCACCGAGGCTAGTGGATCCATTCAATATGAAGAGGGTTGCTTGGAGGTGGTAGCAGTGGAGAGAAGTGTGTGTGTGTGTGTGTGTGTGTGATGATGGGATGAAAAGGAGAGGGCTGGTATGGCAAGTGACACAGGAAAGGGAAAGAAGATAACTACAAGAAGCAGAGAGCAAACACAAGGGCTGCAGGAGACAACAACGGCAAACAGACGGGGAGAGGAGACAGGAGCCCGGCGCAAGGAAGGTTCTGGTGGTTAAGAGTCAGCAGTGAGGGGGTGCGGGGGAGCAACAGGCTCGAGGTGTGGAGAAATGGAAGCCAGCTGTGCTTTTGCATGATTACACCGAAAACATCATTTGCATCAGGGAATGAAATCCAAGCACGCTCCGTAGATACGTATGGTTACCGACCAAAAGAAAAGAAAAGAAAAAAAAACACCCTCCTCGCCGCCGCCGGCACAAATTAGAGGCCTAACAGTGGTGTCCCACAGATTTGCATATGAAGATGAGCACCTATCGTGAATCATTTTCATAAACATCCTATTGCGCGCAGAGTACAAGCCCAATTGGCCCACATGAATGCTCTTCATTACTGTGCTGTGCTGGGTGGGGTTGGTGGTGTATGGGTTGCAGACTTAATCTGGGTTGCGCTGCATATTCATGACTTGCACGGAGTCGTTTTCAGGCCCATTTGCTGGGCCTGAGAGTTCAAACGCACCGCAACTGAAGAAAACACCAGCAACTAGAAAAACGCTAAAGACAACAGAAGTAGGAAAAAAAAATCTCACAAAATAAAAGTGTTTTTGGGGAGACGATAGTGTGACGGACCAGCTGCAAAAATGATAGCAACCAAAACATGGGAAGAATTGCACTGAGACACCCTTAAAAGAAGTAGGATTCGCCGGTGTAAACGATAAGAAGATGCCATGGTAACGTGTGTTTTAATAAATATATTATCAAGTTAGCTTTGCTGTCCGCCAAATTTAGGTTACTCGTTTCGGTTTGCTTATGGTAGCTTTTAATAGCATTAGCTAACTTCTTCTCCAATGCTAACTGAGTGTTCGTGATTGGTCCGTTGTGATGTTAGCCAACATTATTTTGATGATAACGCAGAGATATCATTCATATAATGCTGTAGCTACGTGTTTGCTATTAGCCATTTACTGTTAGCTTGTCTCTTCCACAGTGTGTCGTTCATCCCAACTTCCTCCCCTCGCCTTTAGCCAATCACGGCTGATGACTGCCCCTCCTGTCCCTAGGCTTCTTCCTGTTAGAAGGGAGTTTTTCCTTGCCACTGTCGCCAAGTCTGAGTTATTGTAGGGTCTTTACCTGACAGTATTATAGAGTCCCTTGAGGTAACTGTTGTTGAATTGAATTTGTGACTTTTTGTGTGCTTTTGCAGCATTTTTTTTTCGATTTGCTGGTGTTTTCTTAAGCTGCAGTGCGTCTAAACTCTCAGGGCCGCCGTACATTTACAGTCTGATGCTGTCAGAAATGCTGATAAAAAGTGTACAATACCTCAGTTTGAGAGAGGAGAGCGGTCCTTGAGTGCTGCTGCTGAACAAATCCCGTATATCACATTCCAGATAGGGAAAGCACTTCCTGTCCTGGAAGAGAACACAAAAGTTAGAGCAGGGCATACTTATGTTAGAGCAACACACCGACTCTCGCTGTATTCTCTCCAAACGGGCGACAGGGGACGCAATTAAAAGGCAGGAACCTTTAACGTCTGCCAACATGAAGAGGCATCTGCACGTCTACTGTATGACACAGATTTACTTAAAAAAACCCAAAAAATGTAAAAAAAAAAGGAGTCCAAGCATTACTTTCTCCAAGCCACATCACACAGACACTTTTTATTTTGCTCGCTTCTGGGTCGACCGTTATTAAGTGGCATCTTCATAAATTTTTCAGCTGCTTTCTGGTTCCCATACTGGTGCTACGGCCCGATTGCCGCTGTATGAAGTGCTATTCAGGTCACATCAGCTTTTAATGGCTGATTTATTAGGGCCCAACAGGAGCTTGGTGATGGGCTGCAGGACAAAGAGCCTGTTTTAAACTACATTAACACTCTGCAGTAAATATCCCACACAACATTAGCATTTTGATGGCAACCTCCCCCAGTCACCTTTCACACTTTCCAGTTTTCCCCTCGTTATCCCTCCCTGCCTCTTTAGCCATCGTATCAATCCATCTTTGGAGTGCTTTCTTTCAGAGATTTCTCGTCTCCCATCCTTAGCGTTGCCCTGTTCACTATATATATTTCAACTGAACGCATTCAATTTATATCTGTGCTGGCACCATACCCGCGTGCGAGGGGTGAAGTGGTTAGGTTTAATTATAGACGTATTAATGAAGAGCATGCACACAGAGGTAAAATCAAATGGCATTCAGCGGTTCTGGGAAAGAGCAATTCTTCGGCATCCCTGATGAAACACACGACGAGCTGTTCTCTTTGTTATTGTGACGCAAAACAATCATTACATGATTTATAATTAAATCTCACATGCAATCATAAAACTGATGAGCACCAAAGCTTTTGTAATTGAGGTGTCTATGGCACTGGATGGTCTTGAATAATAAGCTAAAAAAAAGAAAAAAGAAAAAGGATTAATCGGTAGCACTGTGTTTACTATGCAAATTAGGTAGATTTTCCTTTTGACTTAATTAAAACAACCTTTTTTTCTTTCCTCTCACCTATTTGGGTTGTCCGCCTCATGTCCACGTCTCTTTTAAAAGCACTGGCTGTGATTTAAAATGACAGAGACACTGGGAAAACGAGAGTCTATAATTTGTGCATGTGTGCCAATGATAAAAAAAAGGTACTTAGTGAAATGATTCCTTTACTTCTGTCAGATTGTGCAAAGATGCTTGCAAATGAAAAGGAAAAAGAATGGCTCTCAATTATATTGCCAAATTTCTAAATATTATCTAGGCACAATGGCCAACCGGTCTTGGCTTTCGAACAAGTGCCGGGGACGTGCTTCATCAAATCTGCTGTTCATTATGTTTGATCAAATTTGAGACTTTGGCAGAGAAAACAGATGCGATAGGTCAATTTAGCTGAACTGCTGAAACTAGTTTGGTCAACAGAGCATCTGCCAGTCATTTAGCAGGCCTGCAAGTGTTTGGAAAGGAGCACGGTCGCACCATATTGCAACAATCCTAACCACATACTGCTGCACAAAAAGGAGAAATCAATTGCACCGAGAACAGAAAGCAAAAATTATGTTCTGGGCGGTATGGTAGGCTTTCATCGTGTGCTTTCGCTTGATTTCACTTCTTTTTCTGATCAAACCTAATTAACAGTAATTACAGCAACTGGACAGAGCTTTAATTTTACACATTTACCTCTTATAAACTCCTTGCTGCTCTCCTTGGTCTTTCGTACTCAGCAGAAACACTATCAGAGCCAAATTTACTGCTCTCGTCCAATCATTAGTGTTAAAGTACTGGCAGTAGTTGGGAGGTGAGGCTTCCAACACATCATCAGTGAGTTCTGGACAGAGAAATATACATCCATAAGGCTGAATGACCGACGCATTATCTGGAAAATCACCTAATTTTCCTGTTGGAGACAGACACTACCAATGTCTACTTTACCAGTGTTGCATAATCATATACATTTTTTAACTGCAAACAATCATGCCACCTTATCCATATATTAGCTGCTCCTTTAAAGATGAGTGTTTAAAGGATTTCACTCAATTAGCAGCCTAGCAAAACATAAGAAAGTGTAAATGTAAGAGGATCTTACATTTACAGTAGTGCTGTGAGATACTACAGATTTGGTATCGATCCGATACAAAGTAAATACAGGGCCAAAATTACCGATACTAATACCGATACCAAGTAAACACGGGGGCCAATATTACCGATACTAATACAGATACCAAGCAAACACAGGGGCCAATATTACCGATACTAATACAGATACCAATACCAAGTAATTACAAGGCCAAAATTACCGATACCAATACCAAGTAAACATGGGGGCCAATATTACCAATACAGATACCAATCCCAACTAATTACAGGGCCAAAATTACCAATACTAATACCGATACCACGGGTTTTAACCTACAAAGGCAGCTCATGTAGAGGAGAGAAATGTGTCATTTATGTGATAAATTATCCTCTATTTGCAACCTCTAAAAACACTTTAATGACCACTAAATCAGTGTGATTTGTACTTTCCACAATATCTTGTTAATGCAACAAAACGTAACACCTTTTGGCTTTTCATGTATTTTGAAACTGGGTTATTTGGAGTCCTGGGGCCCGTTCTTCGTACGTCGCTCACTACATCCAAGATCAAATGACACATCCAAGACTAAATCATCGCGCTAACCGTGAGCTCGCCAATCCGGTTCTCCAAACACACCTGCTGTTGACGATTAGTACAGCTGGATGAAGTAATGTGAGATCACTGGGTGTCGTAAAAGGGGCTACGCATCGATAGTAGAATCATTGATCGGCAACCCTCTGATTGGTCGGCGAAAATGTCGAAGGAGCGCGCTCGGCTCGGTATTTTTCGGCAGCAGAGCAAGAACTCTTGAGTGAGGGATTTCAGGAGTTTCAGAGTTTAATTAAAACGCAAGGGAACACTGCAAAGGCTGCAAAAGCAAGGAGAGAGGGCTGGCAGAAAGTTGCTGACAAATTAAACTCGTAAGTGATTTAATAATAACAATAATAATGGAGTGGATTTATATAGCGCTTTTCAAGGCACCCAAAGCGCTTTACAATGCCACTATTCATTCCCTCTCACATTCACACACTGGTGGAGGCAGCTACAGGTGTAGCCACAGCTGCCCTGGGGCAGACTGACAGAAGCCAGGCTGCCATATCGCACCATCGGCCCCTCTGGCCAACACCAGTAGGCGGTAGGGTAGATTTATTATATTACACTATATTATCCAATATTATATTACATCATATTATATTATGTTATATTATATCCCCTTACACATTAGAGCCACAACAGGACCCACTAGAACATGGGAACAAGTAAAAGTGAAATATAAGAATATTCTACAGAATGGTATTTATCACTTATATTGCTTTTCGTCTCTTGGAAAGAGACCCTGAAATAATCTGTTTGTTTGTTCATAACAGCAACCAAGAAAAGGGCAGAGCAAAAACAAAGACAGGTGGTGGTCCTGCACCCCCTCGTCAACAAGTTGGTTAAGTGAATAATACCCTCACGGGAAAATCGATATCTCTCTATGAGCACACTGTCGCGCTGAGCTAAAGGATCCTGTCTGTCCCGCAATATACGCTGAATTATGAGGACTCTCCTTATCAATCTTGCACCTTCCGCAATGGGTGGCTCGCGTATACGGACAGGACATGGCTGCGACAGGCTTCCCAAATCCACCTTGGCTTTTATAGCCGTGGTCTCTCATCTTGATTACACAAAGTAATTTGCAATTACTACTCTGAAATATGAATTACATCTGTAATAATCACATACATGTAATAGAATGTTAATAGTACATTTCCCTTTTTTAGGAAATGACCTGTATGTATCTGTGTGAAATCAATAAATGGATCAGGTGCTGCATTATCTTTAGTTACATTGATGTTATTTATTTATGGTGAAACAGTGGTGGAATATCGCTGTTGCTTTCGTATAAATGAAGCGGACATACCTGTGTGGCCGCGATCTAATCCTGTTTACATAAAGTAAACCTGCTCCCGAGCAGGTTTACGCTTACGGCTCTGTTGCTATGGCAGCAAGTCCCGGATGAGCTTCGGGGAACCGAACGATCCAAGATCACGCAAAATCGTCAACAATCTAATCCAGCTAACTTACTTAGCGAGGTACGAAGAACGGGCCCCTGGAATGTGTATCGGCTATAAATAAAACAGACTTGACAATCAACACAAAACGGTTCAGACAGTTTTCATAATGCGTGATTTCCAAAAATACAACATGTACTTAATAGAGTTCAGTGGGCTGCATTCTAGAAACAAAGTATCGATCTGATCGCACTGGTATTGATCCAAAACCAATACCAGAGCTGGTGTCTGGTTTTGAGCCACCCTCTAATTTCACCCTCAATAAACATGAAGCAGTAATTTTGAGTAAAATGCATCTTGCTTACTTTCTTTTTCTTTCTTTTTTACTTTTTTTTTTTTTTAGAAAACTGCACATCTGAGTAAAATACATGTGAAATAAATACAATTATAGGTGTCTTTATTTGCATAATTAATAATTAAGTATAATGTGATTGGTATCCATTCAAGCTTATACCAATCAACTTCATTTGAACAGACTGCAATAAATTCAACGATTTTAAACAGCTTTTTGATTTCATCCTTTTATTTACAGGTTGAGCTACATTTACCGCAGCCACTGCAACTTTACTCACTGATTATTTTCATCTTCCTTTTATTGCAACTATTGTAAGAACCTCAATTAAAGTGGGGTTTGTAAGGTAAAGCTGGAAATATGCCTATTTCTGTCAGAAATCATGTGCAGAAACAGTCATTTCGGAGAGATGCTCAAAGCAGCAACCTGCTGGCTGCTAGTCATCTCCTCTCATCTCTTATCTTTGTTGCCCAAAACCAGCCCTGAACCTGCCCCGTAGTGTGTAAATCCTTG